TGAAAGATTCAAGGTAGTTTCTTTTTTATTCGGTTTAACGTGTGAGTCAATAATTTTTAATGCCTGATTTCTGCAAGTTTTCTTTAATCTTAAAGTGTGAGATTAAACTACAGTACCAAACAATTAAGAATCACTTCATCCCTATAGGACCAATGATTGTTACGGATCAAAAATTGGTCTTAAATTAGACGTAGTCTTGAGATAAAAAAATCAGGATTACCTTTAACTTTTCCGTTCGCACTGAAAGCTTTATCAGGTGTCAAAATGCATTTTTCTGACCTGCTGAAATATTCTGAAAGTTGTTGTCATTTGATTTTTTATTTTGAGTCTTAAGCCATATCTAAGATCCACTTTTTAATTTCAAGTTTACTAGATGTACACAGCAATAAAGTATGTTTTCCTTTTGAACTATTGCTTGATTTTATACCTAAAGATTATACATGATACCTACACAGAGAGTTAAAGTATGTTTAATTTGCTTATACTTTTTATATTTATAATAGATTGGTATTCAATTTAGTTTACATGCATAACAGATACTTCATATTTTAGTTTTTTGTTAGGATCTGTTTTAAAAATTGTTTTTCTCGAAGGTCATGGAGCCCCTTGTAAGAACCTTTTCGCCCCTGACCAGCCGCTATTTTCAGGTTCATGCCTCAACTTGATACAGCACCGTATGCTCCATCTTCCTCAAGAACGTTCATCACACGTAACGTTTTATGTACAATCTTCCTTAAATTTTAACAGGAGTTTCGTTATAAAATTAAAAAGTCAGGTGTAAAATTGGAGACCCTTTCACAACTCCATTTATAAGGTATAAAATGCTGAAAAAACTTTAATTTAACAAGTAACCTTATGAAAGATTCACATAAAAATGGAATTTATAAGGAAATGGTGTGCATAATTTGTCAAATTTTTTTCTGCATGACGCCATACCATACAACATATAATGTATTAAATTTTCAGAGGGATTGACAAGTTATTTTCGTAATAAAATAAAATAAACAAAACTTGTGTTGAAAAGTGTTATCACCCGCATGATAACACCAAATGTGACTGATATACCGACAATAAATTAGATTTAAACATAGATTTTCTTCTTGATAATTTAAGGCAGCCCAGTCTGCAGGGGAGTCTGTAGGAATGGCAGCAGCTCAGTCTGCAGGAATTTTGAGCAATATACATGCAGACCTCATCTGCAGAAATTTCTGCAGAAAACTTTTCTTAGGGATACTATTAACGTATAAAAACATTCGGAAATCATAAATAATTTTTTTAAGGGGCCCAAAATTAATAGCTGACATTTGTACACTTGTAGTTACTTCATTATTATAAGATTTACATCTAAAATATTAAACAATTTTTTTAATACAAAAATATACTTTAACAGAAAATAAAAATATTGTTTTCAATTATCACATATTTGTTTGTATTATTGTGTATAAAAATAACTGGAAGTACCTTCTCTGTATCATAAAACGTGATGTCAACATTAAAGAATATCACAGCACTCTTAATCCATACATTTTTATACCCACACACACAAAACAAAAATTCATTTAGGGCCAAAGTATGAGAATTCATAAATAAAAAATCTTGCTACAAAAAAGCAGAATTAATAATCCACGTAATGTAATAATACACCCTTCACACATACACTGGAAAAAAGACTTTTTAGCTGTACTCTCATTTGTTACATACAAAAAATTATTTTCTGGTAAAAGTATAAGAACGCTTTATCGTTAATCTTTCGACAAATTAATTTTAAAAACAATCTAATTACGTGTTCAAAAAGTAACTGTTAACACTCATTGATGATGTATGATCAACCCATAATATTACATTAAAATGAAAACTGACAGTAGTTGAAGTGTTTCGAGGGCTTGTCGAACTGCTTTCACATCCATTATCACTACCAGAGGTTGACGTACCTAAAGTTCGTTGTTACTTTTTGAAAAAAGATTGAACTTTAACTTCATTCACACGTGTATCATGAGCAATTATACTTGTTTGCCTGTCACTGCAATATTTCCCACAATTGTATTAACAAATGTATGAATTATGAGTATGTACACTGAATTACTCTGTAGTAACTATGCAATATGATATAAAGTTAAGGGATACCTATGATTTTCTTAAACTTTGATAATGTTTTGAAAAATATCATACCACAATATTCGCATTTAGCTTTTATTTTATTACCATCCTTTAATCGTAAATAAAATATATGAAGCAAATATTTGTTGAAAATAAACAAAAACTAATTATTTCAAAAAAATTATTCTAAAAAGGTATAGAATGAAAGTGAAACAGAAAAGAAAAGCATTATAATATTTACAAATTTGTGGAAATATTTAAGAGGCTAAATGAAATGAAGATGACAGTGAGAATATAAGTGTAATTCAAAGTTTGCAGAGATCATTAGAAATGTAATAATTAATTTCAAAATAAGTGGAAAAAAAGCTCTAAAAATGGTTTTCTTCCAAACTTTCTATTAATAATTAAAATATTTGAAGAGTTAATCTTAATAAAGCTGATTGTTCTAAACGAAGCTGGTGCACAGTTGTGTATTGAATGAAAAGGTTTTTTTCATTATTAAAGTTGTTTAATTGTTTATTATATCATAATCAACCTAGTATTCTTCATACATTCATTATATATGTTGTTTAAAGTAAGTTGAAATAAGTTTGTTATTTTTTTGTACTGAGTTATAGAAGCCTGGACAGGTTCCTTACACAATGCCTGTGCAGGCATCTGCCTCACCAGATCCGGTGCATATACAGGAGCTATCCTGAGTTAGTACTCGAATTTTATATAGGACACTTACTAACCTTCTTTTTAAGTCCAAGAAACTTATATGGTAATTGAATTTCATTTTCATAAGCCGAGCTGGAAGGAGGTTTTCATAAAATCGTAATGGGGCGAGAAGGGGCGAGGGGGCTGAAAGAAAAAATAGAAAACCTCTTAAAGTAAACAAAAACATGCATAAAATATCTAAGATTTTTATAAAGTATGTGGGGGGTAGCAAGGAAAACAAGGAGGAGCAGGTTAATGACCCTACTCTCGACTATCTCTCTCTCTCTCTCTCTCTCTCTCTCTCTGTGTAAGTGTGGGTGTAAATGTGTGTTACTGGCAAACTTGAAATTATGTCAGAAACCCGACATGCTGAAATGCCTAAAAAGTTCTAAAAATGCCTAATATTTCAGACAATACCTGAATTTTCTTTAAATTTGATGCATTTTGGGTGTTTCCGGAAAAAGTATCAGAGTCCAGAAACACCTAAGCAAAACTGGAAATGCTTGATGAAGTATTTATAATTGTGATAAAGTTTCATCCACGTTTGTGATAAGTTTGTCTAAAAGTTTTGATGTTGCTACAGAGTGGTTTGTAGGATTCACATTCATATCCTTAACAGAAAATCGAGCGTTACGCGTAAGTATCCGGGTATTTCCGTACATAGCAATAATCGACTGTGATCCAAAAGTAGGGTTTAGCAGCAGCAAATTACCTGTTGATATTATTAGTAAAATACGGAGTAAAGTCGAGATTGAGCGTTTAGGTATACAAGCGGATATGAATGCGGTTAATTATAAATAACTTTAAATATAATAATTTACTTATAATTTAAAAAAAAGGAAATAAATTATAATTGCACACTTACATCTGCAAGTGTCAGTCAAGAATCCAGCGTTGAAAGGGCCAGAGAAAATATATTAGCGTAAAGAAAAAGAGCCACTAAAAGCTTACAAAAAAAACAAAATCAGCCTCGTAGTGGCTATTTAACAGTGGAATACAACTGGACAAGGACATTTTAGGTACAAATGTCGAAAATCTTGTTCTATAAGTAAATGTTTGTGTAAACAACACAAAATTTCTTGTAATTTTAAGTGTCACAACAGTGTATCATGTACTAGCAAGTAAATTAAATGTGTATGGTTAGTTTATGTATTTATACTTCGATTACGTATGCATATCAAAACGATTAAATACAAAATTAGTAAAAAATATTTTTTGATCCTCTCTATTACAAATACATACAATTAGTCTACAAACATTTCAAATTTTTTAGTGGCATTTTGTGGGACGCTTTAAATTTTTTTGGCAACATCCAAAATGCCTAAAATTTATTAGAAAATTTGGATATTACCTAAAATTTATTAAGACCTTGGCTGCAATTTAAAATTTAATTTTTTGTTTTCAAAAGCTTTATTAAGTAATTGCTATTTTTGTTCCGGATTTCCTAGTAAAAATTCTCTTTGATTTTGTTTATTGTATCGACTTTTAAATACTTGTCAATTTCTTATTCAACAATAAAATTCAATTCTCTTTATTAAGTACATGTAAATACTTCGTAAGTGTCATGTATATAAAAATAAACGTCATCTTTGGACCTCGGAATCGTGTTCCAAAGTAGTAAAAATAAATGTTTAGAATTAAGCATAAAATATTTCATGGAAAATGTAGTTTTAAATAAGAAGGATTCCTTTACGGAACTGTTAGCATTATAAGGGCTCAAATAATTACAAAGGCGCAAAGTGTAGCCCGAGGGAAAATAGTGGCTCTTGCACTTAGTACCCATGGTAACCACAGAATTTCCCTATCAGTCACCATCCAAACGAAACTATCCCACGGTCCGTGCAGCCACGAAATATCAACTCAAGTGATGATGTCGTTTGTATAATAAAAACTATCATTCTTTTACATAACGTATACGTACACATTGTAAAGTACAAAACATTTTTTTATTGATTATTGTAAAATGAGACTTTTTGGGCACGCAGAAAGATTCACAAATTAATTCTGCCATTTGTAAGAATTTTTTTGTTAACTTTACGCCTATGTTACGAAAAATACTTATAATATAAAGAATACATATTAGTTACATAATTTATGATTAATATTTCAGGAGTTAATTAAAACATTTATTCATAAACTTTTTGAGCATTTGATGAAACTTAATAAAAAAGTGGAAATAGTAAAAAAAGCATTATCGTTCTAGATGTTATTCAAATTAAATTTTTTAATTACTACTTTATATTCGAGACATGTACAATGTAGATGAATAAAAGCCGCTTCTCAATAAATGGACACATGTGTTAACTTCGTAAAAACATTACAAAAAAATGTTTATTTTGTTTAATATTTTTCGTTCAGAAGGATTCAAATGTTGAATAAATATTGAAAAGTCTTGGTGTGTTGAGAAATTTTTTAAAAAATCACTCAAGTACTGTCCCAAGTTTAAATGGTAAATTGAATCTTGTTGGATATCAAGATCTTGTTCTTCATCATCTTCAGTATCATAATCATTTATAACTAGAGATATAATTTATTAATTAAGAATATTTTATGCTCGTGTTTTTTTTTAACAGAATATTACTTACGTAGACAGTTCGAATGGTTTTCTGCATGAATAGATGAACATTCTTCATCATCAGATTCCTGAAATTAAAAATTTTTACTGTACCTTAAATTTGTTTAAACTGAAATCTTTATTATAATATTATTACTGTATTATCTTCTGCAAAAGCAGCTTCGAGAAAATTTTCCAGTTCATACACAATGAGTTTGAAAATTTTAACTAACACTGGAACTTTTGTCCATTGCATTGGTTTGCACTTAGTTTTGCCTCTGGTTCTAACAGTATTTGACTCGTGTTCTATAAGAAAAAAAAAAAAAAAAAATCATATTATACATCAATAAAAATATGGTGAGGTAGCAAAAAACATTTATTTAATAGTATGATTAAAACAGTAAGATAAATCGTATTTAACGAAAAGTTTTTCTCTTTATTTTATAATGGACTCGACTCTGAAAATCATTTTGAAACTCTGCAGCTCTAAACACAGTAAAGAAATGCTCTTGTAACTTAGCGCATATACGCTCCTATGTTCTAAAACCACCTGTTTCATACAATTAAGTGATTACCCTAATTAAGGAAGGGAGGGGGGTAACAATACTCTGACGATAAAGCGCTACTTACCTAATGTTTGGGGTGGAGTTATTGCTGTATAAAATTTAAAGTTACATGTAATTAAATCGATGTTGAACTGCACTTTTTGCAATTCTATTACTGAACATAGCAAATCTATAAATAAGTAGTAGCAGTACGTAGATTCCACGCTCCCTGCAAAGTCTTCACGTACGTTATGTCTTTAATTTCTACCTTTCTTGTTCTCTTTTCAATATTTACCTTTTCTTCTTTAAATATTCGAGTATTTCGTGCGGGCCCCTAACAAAGTTTCCGTCAAACGACTCAGTTATCGATACTATTGGGTACTATTCACAGGGCGCAGCGATTGTTATAAGCACACCCTAGCTGTTATCAAGTTTAATAAAAGGATCGTTTCAAATAAATCATCTAAACTCACTGTACTCATCTTTTTGAAACCAATAGTCACTTTACCTTATGAGCTGGCCAAGTGTTACCTTTCTTCCAAAAAAAGCCCCTGGAAGCCCAGACATACCCAGAAAAAATCCACTGTTTGTTTTTAAAAATCCGATAAGTAGTGATTCGTCATTCTGGGTACTCATCATATCGAGTGTGCCTGAGAAAAAAATTTCGATAATTTTCGACAGGATTCCAACCCACGACTCGTCGAGTTTCTCTATCTAGGAGGCTGGAATGCTAACCACTAAGCCATTGACACTTTTAATCCATAGATATGTAGATAAATGTTATTTCGCTTACAGTACTTAAACGTACTATGTACAGAATAAATGGAATAAATATTTCGATAAATTCATGTAAAAGTTTAAATGACTACGGAACTGTCACTTTAGTAAAGAGATAATAAGTAAAGCTATAAAATGTTAGTATGTTCACGCACATAAATCATGTAATCATATAACAAAACAGTAAAAGTAAGAGATAATCTTTCTATAAAGCGTGTTTTACAGAAAATTGCAAGTTTTATTGAAAATGATTTGAAAGAGCCTTATAATTTTAAATTTAACTCTGTTATTTGTAGTCTCTAATTTTTTTTTGTATAATTACATAGCAGATTTTAAAGAAAATTCCACTTTATAAATGATAGCTGATAATTTTTGATAGAATCAGAAAAGAAAAAACAATACCTTGTTATACTTCTAGTCATTTGCTAGATTTATGAATTCAGCTAGATAATAATTTGGGCTGCAAACAGATAAGACCTTCCCTATTTGTTTATACGTCTACAAGTATAGTATAGCCTATCGTTGAACATTATAAAAACCCCTGTGCTCTCTAAGCGCCAACTTCGCCACTAATAAATTATGCTGTAAGTATAATACTTTCTAAATAAGTTTTGAATTTTTGTTTTATCCCAGCCCCAAACTAAAAAATTTACTGCTCGTAACGTTTTTTATATACCAACAAATCTTTTGGTGGAAACAAACTGCAAGAGGAATACTTTAGATCTCCATAAACTATTAAATTTTTCAATTTCTGTGGTAGTTAGAACTGGTATTTTTTTACAACCTTTGGGCTAAAAACTCACTACTGGAAACGTTTGCGAAGTACATCTGAGGTCTCCTCAATACCCTTACTCTTTAAGAGTATGAGAGCGAAGGACTTACTAGCTATTTGCCCTTAACTGTTTTTCTTTTTTAAGTAAGTTTTAGTGCCACGGACTACCTAATTCTAATAAGCAGTATCTGAGTTACTTATGTATAGACATTGTTAAAATTAGTTTATGAAGTAAGCAAATCTCGTTTTCTTATAACCATGGTTTCCAGCTGTACGTGGATTAAACTGTGTTCTAACATAGTTACGTGACTGTAGCAAAAGTATTTGTACTATATGGAAATGAAATTTCATAAAATGCATACAAGTACGAATCATAATTTATTTTTACGCTGCATTTGATATTTCTAATAATAAGAATACTAATGTATTTGTAAGGCCTCAATAGCAGTTGGTATACATAATTTTTGAAGCTTTACTTGAAGTTTAAATTTAATTATTGTTTTTTAGTAACGTACCAGCAGTGAATTGCTAAGGTAGTGGTGCTAGTGTTGCCACTTACTTGTGCAGAGGTAAATTAGCCTAATACGAATTGAGTTAAATATTATGGGTGAAAAGAAGAAAATTACCCTATGCAGAAAGAGCTAATTAAGATATTAAATATTGCAACTAAATAATATAAAAAGATACATATGTATTGATATTTGGTTTGAACACCAACTTATGCCCCCACTTCAGATACAGATTATGACTTCGTTTTTTTTTAAATTTTTTAAAAGGTTTCCTTTGTGGTTTAAACAATCTTACTAACGCATCCCACCACACCTTAAGCAATTTAGTTTTGAATAGATAGAATCGATTATTTTTTTAAATCATAAAAAGTAAATTTTTCAGTAACTATTAATAATAACCACAGTTTTGACAAAAAAAAGAGAATTATAAAACAGCAATAAATAGGCAGATAAAATAAAGTATTTTCTAAATATCGTGGGCGATACCGTTTTTTTAATTCTCT